TTGTTTTGTTGTATAAATATGTAAGAATATATTAGTTTTTATAATTATTTTGCATTAAACACTGAATACGTGAATTAATTGGTTTATTTAATTGTGAATATAGTATTTAAGTCTTCAATCAATGATTTTACAAACATATCTGATTTGAAAGGAATGATGATTGCGATGGTGGTACAAGTGGTCAGTAGTGACGTGTAGTAGTCGGTAGTGGTGGTAGAGTTTGAGTTTGACTACTTTGAATGTGTCAATTAATGTATAATGGATTGTATTATGCTTTAAATTTTATATAATAAACTAAAAATAGACTGTATTATATTGTATATATTATATAAATTTTATGTTAAAATATGAATGAATTTATGCATGAAATTATTAAACTGCATATTAGTGAATCAATATGTCCATTAAACTGTGCATATGGTATTTAAACATTAAATATGTCTTATAAACAATATATTTTTTTCATAAAAAATCAATAATTTAAGAGAGAAAATTTCAATTTGTCAAGGCATAATTCTTTTTTTTTTTAATTAATTTTTTATATTTTCCTACAAAAATGAAATTGTATATGTTAAAAATTACTGCCAAAGAAATAGGGGGCTACGATTTTTGTTATATTAAACTATGAATACAACCAGAAAAATCTCACTGGATTTGGTGTTTGTCCGGCCGGCGGTTGTTCGAAGATGATACGTCGACAGTCCGACGGTAGTCCCACGACAAGTGACAATTAGTTGTAAACTAGAGAACAGAAAAGTTTGCTTGATGCAATATAAATGTTGGATTTGTCCAAAATGTCTTTAATGAAAATATTAAAAATGGTTCTTAACCTTTTGGGGTAAAAGATTAGGTTGAATTAATTTGTTTAATTTAATGGATAATCCTAACATGCGTCGGTTAAATATTGAAGAGAATTAAGAAACTTTTGTTTTTCGCTTTGAAAAATTTCAATGCAAACATATTGAAGAGAATTAAGAAACTTTTGTTTTTCGCTTTGAAAAATTTCAATGCAAACACCGTAAATACAGGAGGACTCGAACTCGTGACCTTCATCCCTTAAATTACCAAGGCTTTAACCAATTGAGCTGAATGCTCTCTTGGTTTGTTCTTCCCTAAAATTAATTTATATAATAACAAAATCGTTAAAACATAAACAATAAATAAATTACAAAAAACATTTTTTTACATAATTTTTTCTTTTAGATAAAACAAAATGTATGTTAGATGTATTATAAAAATATAGTTTTTTTACAAACAATTTGTATGTATTTTCATGTATTTATTTTACGTAAAAAATACATTTTTATGTCTTTAAAAAATACGTTTTTGTATAAAAAATATTTTTTTTATGTCTTTGAAATAATAATAATTAAAACTACCAATGACATAAAAAATGTATAAATTATTTTGGGTCGTTAGTTCTAAAACCGTTTTTTCGGTTATATATATTAAAAATAACTTAACAATGATTTTGTTATGTATCTAAATAATTTATACGGTTTTTTTATGTCAAGAGTAGTGTTAATAATTGTTATTTCAAAAAGATATATCACTATTTCTTTTCATCTTCATTTTAACCATACGATTTAGAACTTGTGATTAAGATGAAAGACGTATTTTAAATAAGATATATAACCGAATAAGTTTTTTTGGTTTGGTATGATATGTTATTATGTTGTACTGGAAGGCAAATCGGTTTAAATAATATGATATATAATCGAATAGGTTTTTTTGGTATTTTAAATAAGATATTTAACCGAATACGTATCTAAAATAAGATATGTAACCGAATACGTTTTTCTAAATACATATAACCGGATACGTATTGTAAAAGAACATAAAAACAGTTTTCAGAAAATCGATTGGACCAAACCAAAAACATATTCGACCGATTTTTCCTTCCAATACAACATAATAACATATTATACCAAACCAAAAAAACCTATTCGGTTATATAGCTTATTTAAAATATGTTTTTAGTTATATGTATTTAAAAAATCATAAAAAAAACCTATTTGGTTATATATCTTATTTAAAATACGTATTTCATTTTAATCGCAAGTTCTAAATCGTATGGTTAAAATGGAGATGGAAAGAAAATAATGATATATCTTTTTGAAATAACAATTATTAACATTACCCTTGACATGAAAAAATCGTATACTTGAAAAGACGAAAAAGCCTTTACAAATTCAGTCCATAACGGCTGAATACTAACGAAGTTAGTAAAAAAGGCCATCAGTGCAAGTTTTGCAAACGACAATGACCATTTGCATAAAAAAAAATTAGCAGAGACTATTTTTTGCAAACCACATTGACCATTTTTGTTTTTTTTAACAACAAATATTTCATTAAAGAAAAAACAAAAGCTTAAGCAAGGCGCTCAAGACAAAGTTCATGAAAAACAAGATAAATGAGAATTACACCACATATGCTAGTTAAGAGCATTAAATTTAAATCTATTCTTAATCCAATTAAACGTAAGCATGCTGATATCATCAGCAATCGCCATTGAAGGTCGCCTCTCATTCCTGAAAACGCTTGCGTTTCTTGCTTTCCAGATCATCCGAATGGTGCAATAGATTAAGGACAATTTCAAATTTTGAGTATTTTTCTCACTGTTAACCTGATTGAGCATCATTTCCAAATCAAGAGATGAAAATGGTTGTTCTGGACAAATTCCAGACCATTCCACAAGCCACTTCCACAACGATGACACATAACCACAGGAAAAGAAAACGTGATCCAACCCTTCATCAAAATCATGACAAAAAGTGCATAAGTTGGACGATACCACTATACCTATACCACGCCTCATCAGGTTAGGAACCAAAAGAATCCTATTTTATATCATTCTCCAGACAAAACAATTGATCTTAAGCGGGATCCAACCAACCCAATTGAAAGAAGTTACCATAACATGATTCTCCATAAGAAGCTTTAAAGATCTGAACGAGAAATCTCATTTGCTATCAGCAGTCCAAGTCCACTTGTCATTATAAAAATGAAACTGAAAATTATTCAACATAGCAGTCAAGTCTGATAATTGCCTCATTTCACGCCCTCTCATTGTTTGTCTAGACCATTCCCAAAAGAAATGTTTCTTCATTCCAGCCCCCACACCCACTCTATCACTAATTAAGCAATCTTTAACAGTTTCAATTGCATAAAGATTTGGAAAGATCTCCTTAAGCTTTATGTCACCACACCAAACATCCTTCCAAAAGTGAGTTTTATCCCCTTTACCTATTACCCTTCTGAAAAATTATTCAACTCAATTCCTTTATCACAAAAATCCTAATCCAAATTTGAGATATCAAGCCAAACACCTTTTAAAGACTTTTTATCCAAGGGTTGGCCATCAATAAGCATAATATTATGAATGGCTTTGACAGAAGAGCACCACAAATCATCATACCCAACTCTTAACCTCCACCACCACTTTGCAAGAAGCGCCAAGTTTGCCGAGTCGAGACAACTCACTCCTAGACCCCCATTTTCTTTTGATTTCGCAACAACATCCCAAGAAACCCAATAAATTTTTTTATTAGCTTCATCTCCACCCCATAGAAACCGCCTTCTCAAACCATCTAGAATATTAATCACTTTCTTTGGAGCTCTAAAAAGAGATAAATAGTAGTAAAGCGGAAGACTATTAAGCACCGAGTTAACAAGAATGAGACGTCCACCAAAAGAAAGGCATTTCGCCTTCCAATTTGATAGTTTCCTTTTTTACTTTCTCAATCACCAGACTCCAATGCTTTGCTAGCTTCATATTGGCCCTAACCGGTAGGCCCAAGTAAGTGAAAGGGAGAAGGGATAACAATAGACTCACACTTCAAGATGCTAGCAAACCTATCAATCTCCAAAGAATTAACATTAATGCCATAAACTTTGCTTTTGTACAAGTTTACCTTCAAACCTGAGGCAAGAAAAAAGCATCAAAGTAACGTATTAAGATTAAAAAAGTTGGTTTCCGACCAATCTCCAATGAAAGTAACATCATTGGCATACATAAGATGCGAGATAGAAATGTTATTTAATGGAAGAGAAAACCCATGGAAGTAGTGAAGTTCACGTGCTCTTTCCATACAAACATGAAGTCCTTCCATAACAATAATAAAAAGAAATGACACTAGAGGATCCCCTTGCCTAACTCATCTAGTGACGTCAAACTCTTTTGTAGGCGAGCCGTTGACCAAAACCGAGGCCCTACTTGAAGAAAGACAGCCCCTAATCCACCTTCTCCATTTCCAACCAAAATCCATTTGATCCGAAATCGAGTCTAAGAACTCCCAACTCAAGGAGTCAAAAGCCTTGTCAAAGTCCACTTTGAAAATCAAGGTTTTTTTCTTACACTTTTTGGTCCATGTAATGATTTCATTAAGTAAAAGGGGACCATCCAAAATATTTCTACCTTCCACATAAGCGGTTTGTTCAGGATAAATAATTTTATCCAAAACTCTTTTAAGCCGATTAGCAAGAATCTTTGAGAGCACCTTGTATAAACACCCAACAAGGTTAATCGGCCTATAATCATTCAAAGAAAGCGGATCATTAGACTTCAGAATTAAAGAGATAAAAGAGGAGTTGCATCCTTTTGTCAAGATACCGGATGACTCAAAGTCTTTCACAAACATAATAACATCACCTTTTATCAAGTCCCAATAATTCTTTAAAAACTTAAATGTAAAACCATCGGATCCCGGCGCCTTATCATTTCCACAACACCAAATCGTGTCTTTAATTTCAATTTCGGAGAAAGAACTCGTGAGAAAATCCCTATCTCCATCCGAAATCTTCTTAAATTTATCACTTATAAGCTTCGGTCGATTATAAACGACTCTTTAAACTTCTTTGAAAAAAAATCCCACACCTCATTTTTGTATAAAAAAAATTATTTAACTAATTTTTGGGAAAAAAAATTGTTTATATTTGCCGAGTTTGTCTTCTAAACGAGTTAACAAACATTAATAGTCTTATCTTTACAACACTCAAAAGAATTGCAAAAAATTCTGGTTTGGAGGGCCACGCCCACCGCCTACCATATGTGGGTTTTGGGGGAGAAGGTGCATGTGACGATTACTTTGTTTTAAATTCCCCAAAGTGATTTGACAGACTTTCCACAAGGAGACGAAGAACAACACCTCCAACCTTCTCGATTGACCTCTGTTTTTCTCCTCAGGATTCACACCCCATACTAAACGTCCTGTTTGTGATCCTTCCTAATGGTAAACCCCGATCTAGTTTTACTTATTCGTCTATCCGTGTAAACACCCACTTATACGCAGCCTTTTTTTGTGTCTTTTTCTATGTTTATGTGGATATATAACTGTGTTGATTTACTTTCTGACACTGAGAAGAAGCTCTATAAGTCTGTAACTCATCCGTGTCTGAACGTTTCAGACACCAAAATCATAGTTGCTGATTTCCCGTATTTATTTGAATTTAATATTCCGTAACAAGAAATCTGAGCCCTTTCTAGACTTTCATAGTTTCATTTTGACTTTCTTAAATCTAGTTCGATTTTTGGGCCTTAGTATTCGATTACAAAGCATTTCGTTTCATTTATGCGAAATGGGTACTTAAAAGTTAGATAAATTCTTGAAATTTGAGGTTGCGTTTTCCTGAATCATTGAAGCTTCTCATCAATTCGATTCTTCGTTTCTACTTTTAGTACTTCTCTTTTGTGCATATATACAAAAAGCATTTAATTATCATTGGATTTTTAATAACTCTGTTGAATCTCATACATTATGCTTGAAGACCCTATAGGTGGTACTAGGGTAGTAGGGTGTCCAATTAAACTTATTATTATGATGAACAAATCTAGAGCGCTCATTAATATCTGATTTTCTGATTATTTAAAAGGTCAAAATGATGATATAAATGTGACTTTAACTCTGTCACTAGTTCTCGAATACATGAATATTTGATACCATTGTTGTCATGTTATTGACATGATTCACCAAACTAATGAATTATAAACCTTCTCTCATTTATTTTTTTCTTCCATTTACAGAAATGATTTATATTCATGCAATCAAAGTGTATGTAATGCCAATAGTTGAATCAAATCATTAGCACTGATTTTGGTTTTCTTCAAAGATGGAGCTAATTTTAATACTTTTACTACTTGGAACTTTGCATTTAGTAGCACCCGATGCTCAAGGTATATTCTCTTTCATATATATATATATATATATATATATATATATATATATATATATATATATATTTGTATCTATTGTTAGGAATGAAATAAAACTTTTGAGATAATTTTATTATTTGTAGGAGATGCACTTTTTGAATTGAGAACTTCACTTAAGGCTTCACCAGATCAACTCACTGATTGGAATCAGAATCAAGTTAACCCTTGCACTTGGTCTAAAGTTAGTTGTGATTCAAATAATAATGTTTTTTCTGTGTAAGTAACTATAATATTCATTTATTTTTGATTAAATTTAGGTTTTCTTGTGTGATATTAATTTGATTTTATTTGCAGATCTATGTCTTTCATGGGATTTACAGGAACCTTGTCACCAAGAATACAAGTTTTGTCAAGGCTTACAATACTGTATGTGTAGAAAGCTTATCCACAATAAAATTATAAAATTGCAATTTTTCTCTCATTCTTTATTATTGGGTTTGACTTTTTTTCGTTGACTTTCAGTTCTTTACAAGGGAATCAAATAACAGGGGGGATACCTGAAGAATATGGAAACCTGAGTAGCCTCACAATGTTGGATCTTGAAAGCAATCAATTAAATGGTCAAATACCATCTTCACTTGGAAATCTAAAAAACCTTCAATTTTTGTAAGCAACACCTTATTTGCATATAAAGATAAAGAATCTTTAACATTCCATTGATACTAATTGATTGTTTTATTAATAATTTTTCTCATTTATTATATTTTTTAATGTGTAGGATCTTGAGCCAAAACAACCTTGAAGGACCTATCCCTGAATCACTTTCAAGTCTTCCAAATTTGACTAGCATGTAATTTAATTAATATTCTAAAAAGAGCAACATACTTAACATTTAACAAATCTAGTAGTTAATATTTCTAATTTTGTTAAGTGTCATTGTAATTTGTAACTTACTTTTTGAATGCAGTTTACTTGGTTCCAACAATCTGAGTGGTGAAATACCTGATCATTTATTTCAGCTTTCTAAATTCAAGTACGTATATTTTAACTTTTTAAAAAATAGAATTCTTAACTTTTTATTTATTCATGATGTTTTTATCTTGACATCTTATCACAGTTTTACAGGGAACAGGTTGAATTGTGGTTTTAATAACACCCACCCTTGTGCTTCTACTTCTGGAGGTATTTTTTTATAGCAGTGAAAATTGCTTTCTATTTGGATGAAATTTGCTATTTTTTTTTTTACATTTAACTAACCTTATTAAATTTAATGTTGTAGATTCTTCAAAGAAATCAAAGGCAGGAATTGTAATTGGAGTTATTGGTGGAGTTCTTTCCCTTCTTTTGGTTGGATGTTTGGTGTTATTTTTATGGAGGGGTAGACACAAAGGCTACAAACGTGAGGTCTTTGTTGATGTTGCAGGTGACTGTGAGCTTTTAAATCTTTTTTTTAAAAAGTTTTTTGATAAATGACCATTTTGCCCTTGTTTTCTTCATCTTCCTCAAGATACCCGAAAAAGAAAAGAAAATTCAGTCCAAAGCCCCATAATATATCAAATCTAAAGTGAAAACAAAACAAAATAAAAAAAAAATTGCACTTTTTGTCTCGTTAGTATGTTCTGTTCTTGATAACTCTTTAATGGTCCGATTTTTTTTAGGGTTTCATATCTCAAATCTATCGATATGACCATATTGCCCTTGTCTTAGTGATTTTCTTCATCTCCATTCTCCTCAATAAACCCTAAAATCAAACCATTTTCAACTAAACCTAAAATTAATAAAAAAAACAAAATAAGAAATCCTATCCTACCTATATAAGTGGGCTGAAAATTGCATTATTCGTCCGGTTCACATATATGAAAATGACCATTTTGCCCTTGTCTGTCCATTTTCATCTTCCCCAAAAAACCCTAAAATCAAACCAATTTCTACAAAAACCCCAATAACCATACATAAACTTAAAAACAAAACATAATCAAACTCAAAACAAATCCCAATTTAACTTTTCAATCCCCCTTCGCATATTCGTTTAAATTTCTTCCAACTCTCATTCCCCTTTTACTAATTTTTATTGTTTGACTTTTTAGGGGAGGTTGACCGAAGGATTGCATTTGGTCAACTGAAGCGATTTGCATGGAGGGAACTCCAACTTGCCACTGACAATTTCAATGAAAGAAACGTGCTTGGACAAGGAGGTTTTGGGAAGGTTTATAAAGGAGTTCTTGGGGACAATACAAAAGTTGCGGTCAAACGGTTGACCGATTACGAGAGTCCAGGTGGCGATGCGGCGTTTCAACGGGAGGTTGAGATGATAAGTGTGGCGGTTCACCGGAATTTGTTGCGGCTCATTGGGTTTTGCACCACCCCAACCGAGCGGCTGTTGGTGTATCCCTATATGCAAAACCTAAGTGTTGCATATCGCCTAAGAGGTACTTGTTAATTTGTTATGCTTATGCTCTTGTAAGAAACTCTATGGAATGTAATGACTCATTCCATTCCATTCCTTTCCTACAGACAGACTGACCAAACATGATCATGGAATGTAATGATTCATTCCATTCCATTTCTTTTCTATAGACTGACTGACCAAACATGATCATGGAATGTAATGACTCATTCCTTTCCTACAGACAGACTGACCAAACATGATCATGGATTGTAGTGACTCATTCCATTCCATTCCTACAGACTGACTGACCAAACATGATCATGGAATGTAAACATGATCATGGAATGAATGAATCATTCCATTACTTTTCTTATTCCATTTGTTTGTCATTCCATTACATCTAACCAAACACACCATTAGGTAGTGATTGGTTTGATGGAATTCGGGAAGGAATGGAATGGTTCATTCCATTGGAATCAAGAAAAGAAGTTTGTTTTGTTCTTTGTATGAATGGAATGAAAAATTGCAATATAAAACTTTATTCCATTTCATTTCTACAGACTGGCCAAACATGATTATGGGATGTAATGCCTCATTCCATTACTTTGCTCTATTCCATTTGTTCGTCATGCCATTTCATCTAACCAAACACACCGTTATGTGGTGTTTTGTTTGATGGAACTGGGGAAGGAATGGAATGATTCATTTCATTGGAATCAAGAAAAGAAGTTTGTTTTGTTGTTTTGTATGAATGGAATCGACCATTCTTGAAGGAATGTGATTCCTTCCATTTTTGTTAGTTTTCATTCCTTGGAGAGAGTTTTCTTTTGTATTTTTTTTATTAATTTTTTTTTTATGAATTCATGGTTTTATTTTAAAGTACAGTTTTATTTTCTAAAAAGTAACTATAAATACATTTTTATCGTAAATCTTATTTGGGCATTAATGAGCTTTTATTATGTTCATTCTCTTATATACCTGTAAATGAAAAATTCATCAATTATAATTAAATAATGTTATATAGCATACAGTTACATTTTATTCACATGCAATATAAAAAATTCATTTTTTTTTTCAAAAAAACTGAACAGACCATCAGTTTTAAGTTTACTAATCACTTAATATTTTCCAAAAAAATAGTTTTTGACCTGAAAAACCCCGATTATCAAACCCAACAAAAACCAAACACATAATTTTAATCTGGTTTGGTTTTCACTTCTACATTTCTTGAGTGTTTTTTTCATCTTTTCCTTATTAGCACATTACACAAGGAACAATAACATTTCTATAATCCCTAAAATTTTCAAACCACAATACCAAAAAAATTAACATTTCTATAATCCCTAAAATAACAAATTTTCACATTTCACAGAAATCAAACCTGGTGAAGCTGTATTAGATTGGATGACAAGAAAAAGAATAGCATTAGGAACAGCTCGTGGACTTGAATATCTTCATGAACACTGTAACCCTAAAATAATCCATAGAGATGTAAAAGCTGCTAATGTATTACTAGATGAAGATTTTGAAGCAGTTGTAGGTGATTTTGGATTGGCTAAATTGGTTGATATTAGAAAAACAAATGTGACTACTCAAGTGCGTGGGACCATGGGACATATTGCCCCTGAGTATCTTTCTACAGGGAAATCTTCTGAAAGAACAGATATTTTTGGTTATGGGATTATGCTTCTTGAACTTGTCACTGGTCAACGCGCTATTGACTTTTCAAGACTTGAGGAGGAAGATGATGTGTTGTTGCTTGATCATGTAAGATTTAAGATTTCTGTTTTTAGTTACTGTTTAATCCCAACATTTATTTTTTGAACAGAAAAGTCCCGAGTATCTAACTTTATATAATAATCTGTCATTATCTGTTGAAAAAAATAAGGACTATTTTGTTAATTTGGGCAAAATATAAATTAATCGGGACTTTTCTGTTCAAAAAATAGAAGTTAGAACTGGCCTAAAATATTGGGACTTTATCAGAGATTTCCCAAATATTGTTTTGATTATATAGGGCTTTTGACATAAAAGTCCTTAAGTTTGGCAAGTTTTGTCAGTTTTGTCCCTGTTCACTAAATGCCCAAAGTTTACCAAATTCTTTTCAATTTTTCCCTTGTTACATGTAACAGCAGGTTTCCAGGGACAAATTTGACAAACTTAACGACTTTCATATCAAATTTGAAAAACATACATATAAGATTTGTAAACTTAAAGGGCTTTTTTCGCAAATGTGAAAAACATACTTAGGGTAAAAACATAAAAGATTTGTAAACTTAAGGGTTTTTTGCAATTGTGAAAAACATACTTAGGGTAAAAACATGAAAGATTTGTAAACTTAAGGGTTTTTTGCAAATGTGAAAAACATAATTAGGGTAAAAACATGAAAGATTTGTAAACTTAAAAGATTTGTAAACTTAAGGGTTTTTTGCAAATGTGAAAAACATACTTAGGGTAAAAACATAAAAGATTTGTAAACCTAAGGGCTTTTTTTGCAAATGTGAAAAATATACTTAGGGGTAAAATAATAAAGATTTGTAAACTTAAGGGTTTTTTGCAAATGTGAAAAACATACTTGGGGTAAAAACATAAAAGATTTGTAAATCTAAGGGTTTTTTTTTTTTTTTTTGCAAATGAGAAAAACATAAAAGATTTGTAACGAGGGCAAAAATGAAAAAACTTGGCAAGCTTTGGGCATTAACGAACAAAAAATCGTCATAGGGACAAAACCGACAAAACTTATCAAACTTAAGGACTTAAATGTCAAAAGCCCTTGATTATATGTATCTTGTTGTGTCTTGTTTGGAATAGGTACTGAGAATTTATCTAAATGCAAGAAATGTTAGCGTACTTTCATTTAGTTGTTTATTATTATACCTTTCATTTTTTTTTTCTTGAAAAGATATTATATTTTGAAAAAAAAAAAAACCAAATTATAGCATTATATTATTCTTATTATATGTAAAAATAGAGTAATCTCCATTTCTATTTCCTCTGATTGCTGAATTTTGTTTTCATCATATCCGATTATTACATAGGTGAAGAAACTAGAAAGGGAGAAGAGATTGGATGCGATTGTTGATAGGAATCTGAGCAAGAACTACAACATGGGGGAAGTGGAGATGATGATAAAGGTGGCGTTACTGTGCACCCAAGGGTCGCCGGAGGACCGCCCTGCCATGTCGGAGGTGGTGCGGATGTTGGAAGGGGAAGGGCTGGCGGAAAGGTGGGAGGAATGGCAGAATGTTGAAGTCACACGTAGGCAAGAGTATGATCGCCTACAAAGAAGATTTGATTGGGGAGAAGACTCCATTTATAATCAAGATGCTATAGAGTTATCCGGTGGCCGATGATTTTTCATCACCACCTTAGTACGTACATACATGTTATTTTTGTATCTATATCTGTATCTGTATCTGTATCTGTATCTGTATCTGTATCTGGTGGAAGATGAAGTTTGATCACCACCTTAGTGCGTATATTGGAATTTGTTTTGTTGTTTGTGGACTTTGTGTGTACAACTTTTAGAGTTTTGGTTTGTGATTATGATGAGTAGACACTAGTACATACAATTCTAGGATTGGATTATGATGATATTATTATTGTTGTCTTGTTGATGTTTACTTGTTTTTTTTTTTTTTGTGTGGATATGAAAGAAAGCTTGCTAAATTGCTTCATCCTAGAAATATCCAACATATTGCTTTTAGTTTGAGACTTCTTGTAATTTGCTTTAATAACAAGTTACCTTTCACTATTTGAAAAAGTTGTTCTCAAATACATGTAGTTGTGGTAGTATTGGAGGTGATTTTTTAAGATATATTTTTATAAAATTGGTAAAAATTTCAATGTGACAACAGTAAAAGGTCTTTATATCATTAACATAGTAGAATGGGAACACATTTTTGTGCAATGATTTTCGCAAATCAAATGTCCTAAATGTTCTTAATCAATTAAACATATACATGAGTGATATTGCTCAATATCCATATAATTTAGTTTCATATATTACCTTTATATCATGCATCACATTGTGCACCTCATCACCTGTCCATTAAATTCCTGATTAAAGGCTGATAGTTTTAGAATCAAATGTGGAATAACTATTTTTACAAACTGATATTCTTTTGGACTTTTAAAAAAAAATTAAAAACCACAGGGACCTTTTTTGCAGTTTTCTCAAAATTATTTTGTTATGCAGGTTACAGGTTGAGGGGGTGTGAAGTGGACGTCTAGAATTCAAAAATCAGAAAGCGCTCTTAACTTCGTATCCTTTCGATCTTGTTCCTTCGTACGCCATCAACTTCGCTGAACTCATCGCCATCTTTCTTTTCTTTAAGGTCAGATTCCTTCTTTCTCTAATTCTTTCTAGTTTCTTCATCTGGTTGATTCTTTCTATCCACTTTTTCTTTTTACTGCTTCATCGAACATTAGGGTTTATACGTTCTGTACCCTAGATGAACACTTTCACTGTTTATGGTTCTGACCAGTTTCTACAGAAATGGAAATCATTCCTCCTATGTTTGGAATCAGTTCATTTACTCCAGACAAATTGGCCAATTGAAGGACTAATTTCATTCAAGATTTTACATCACTCTTCCCATCTTCATACTCTTACCCTTTAACCTTGATTTCATTAGGGTGATTCGATTCCCCTGTTTGCTTTCAACCTTCTGCTTCTGAAAGTGTCGGTTAAAATGAGACCTCGACATTACCATGCTAATGTAATAAATCCGTATTCTATTTGCAGGAAAGGAGACATGAAGGTTAAGCTTTTGCGTATCCTTACAATATCACTTTTACATTTCAATTTTATTAGATTAATCATGTGACAACATGCTTCCATGATAGGCAATATTTTGATTATCTTTCTGTTGGATACTCTATATGTACAATCACTATTGGAGAAGAAATGAAAATAGGATAATATAATAAACAAATCAAGAAAGTGCGTTACTAAAATGAGATGCTTAAAAATTCATTGTTTCTGTTCTTTCTTAACCAATTTGCCTACAAAATTCCGGCGAACATATAAACAGAGTATGTCTTCCACCTTTCTTTTAATTTTTTTATAAAAGAAAAAGAAACATTTGATTTATGAATTATGGAAGGAATTGAAATTGTTTATTTTTTGTTTGTTGATGTATAGATGGCATGCAGTAGCTTCATGGACATGGGGATGCTCAAGATGAGACATGTGGGATATGTAGAATGGCTTTTGATGGTTGTTGTCCTGATTGTAAACTCCCTGGTGATGATTGCCCACTAAGTAAGTCTCTCTTGGTTTTATTTTAAAATATAGTTTAGGGGTATTTTGGTCATTTAATAAAAAAAGGAAGAATGGAATTGAATCTCTTCCACAATCCATTCACACCAAAGAATGGTGAAATCCATCAGACATGGAATTTGAATGATTCTGACTGAATTGAATTCCATTAATTTGGCAACTAAACATGTGACGGAATGGAATCTCGAATTCCGATTCCGGTGTTATTTGTTTGTTTGTTTGTGTGTGTAGTTTGGGGTGCTTGCAACCATGCTTTCCATCTTCACTGCATTCTGAAATGGATAAATTCACAGACTCCCCAGGCACACTGTCCCATGTGTCGGAGGGAATGGCAGTTTAAAGAATGAGTCTCCACCGGAATTGGAATTCCATTCCATTCTCGCGTCTCATTGCAAATGACTATGTAATTCAATTCCTTGTAATTGACAAAATCGATGGAATTTGATTGTAATCTTCTTTCATTTCTATAAATGATTGAAATGCATTTTGTAAACCTATTATTGGTGGCATTGTAGTGTGTTGATTTTTTCTATTATGTAATTAATTTTTGGTAGTTTGCTTTGTGTTGATAAATTTATGTTATTAAATATGTACAAGTACAATTATTTTTTTATGTAAAAAGTTATGAACGAGAAACTAAAAAAAATAATTTAAATATTTTTACAACTATTTAAATAAGTTTTGTGAACAAGAAAAAGTTATGAATGATTTTGTCATTTGTCATTATCTGCTTCCATATTCTATGACATATATACAATTACAAATAAAATTCCATTTTCTTTCCTTCATATTCCATTTGTTTTGATCCTTTCCAAAAAAAAAAAAAAAAAAAAAAAAAAAAAAACTGCTAATATTATTATGTTTTCGAATCACTTTACACTTACAGTTTCCAACTTTTCAAACAAAGAAATGGAATTCCATTTTGTTTTCTAACAACCAAACATTTGAGACTTCAATTCCTCTATATTCAAATCAAAATATTCAAACAAATCAATGCCCACATCATATATATATTATTCTAAAACACTTGACACAACAAAAACTTGGACTCAGTCATAGTCAAACTTGACTGTTGACCAAAGGTGGTGAAATGACATGAAAGGAATGAAGAACTTGTTCCAAAATCATTCGTGTGTGATCATCAAGGGGTTTTTCAGGGTTGTCTGAGTAAGCAATGTTTAAAAGGTAGAGCTTCTTGGAGGCCACAAATGCTGCTGAAAATACCCTTTTTACCCCTCCCCTTGTGCTATCTAGCTTGTATTCAAATTCATACACTTGTACATCATCACCCTTTTGTCCCCCTCTCTCTGATGATGATATTATTTCTACATCTTTTGTGCTTTCCTGTATCAAATCAAGTTCCAAATCTTTCAAATTGCAACCTACTTTACTCTTTTTTAAAAGCTTTCTACATTTATCTTATGTATTATAATAACAATGTATATACATTTCTTTCCCCATTAATATAAATATGGAACAAATGAAAGATTACCTTGCGTTTCTCAGCTTGAATAAGCTTATTAGCAACGAATTGAGGATCTCCAAACTCACGAAGACTGGTGAGACGAACTGGTGTTACAACAACCCCAATATTGTTTCCTCCTTTACTTGGATCTTCAAACAATGCAGTCGCACCTGCTTTTTCAACCTATCAATCAATCAATTTCACGGAATGAATCAAACCAAAAACAAACCCTAGAATGAGTGAAGTAGAGTAGTAGAAGAATCGAACAGACCTTTGTCCAAGGTGTGGGTCTGAGGAGTGTGAACCCCTCGTTCGTATCTGTATAGCTTTCGAGCTCTAAGTATTCTTGCGTTTGAGCCCAGGTGGATGTGGAAGATAAAAAAGGAGAAATTGGTGATGCGATTATGGTTAGAATTGAGATGTTCAACAGGTTTCTTCTGGTTGGCTGAATCGGCAAGCGATTGTTGTGATTTGATGATGTGGGTCGTTGAAGATTAGAAAGAGGAGGAGAGTGGGGGGATGTTGAGTTTGATGCATTGACGATGGTTGGTTGTGTTGTAGGATTAATTTTGACCAAGGAAAAACAAGATGAAGATATCATCTTCTGGGAAAGATGAGTCTTGCCGTTGGGATTTGGTGGAACTTTCTCATATCCGTTTTTTATTGTTGCCAATTTGTATATGTTTTGGCTTTAAATCTTTTTTGTATGGTTACATTTTTGATTTATGTTGAAAACACAAAAGAATTAGTTTGTATGTATATTGTAGTCTAGGGCGACAAAAACTAATTAAAATATTGAACCGAACCGAATGAGTAGTCTTTATGTTAATATGAGAAGGTTAGAGTAGTCTTTATGTTAATATGAGAAGGTTATCGATATTTACATACTTTATTTTTTTTTTTAAATTTTTTTTAGGATAATGAATTAAAAGGATAATATATTTTTCGATTTGTACATATTTGGTCATTGAGTTTTTTTTCGTCCACATTTACCCCTTCAACTTGTTAAACTGTACATATTTAGTCATAAGCAATCAAGTAGTCGAGATCACAATGAAAATAAACATCAAAAGCCCCCAAATACCTCATTAATGATTGTCTCACGTAAGATGTCGTGAAAAAACCCTTAAGAAATAATTCATAAGTACTAAATGAGTATAAACACAAAAATGACTTATTTTGCAATATATATATATATATATATATATATATATATATATATATATATCTATATATATATATATATATATATATATATATATATATATATATAGAAGGTGAGGTTCAATAGAAAACCATAATTAACCAATGAATCAAGAAACCAATCTTTTTTTCAACTTTTAGAACTTATTTTTTATCCAAAAAAAAAAAACTAAAAATACAGAAATTCATAACTTTTATCCTTTTTCCAATGATATCAAATTCGATTTTTTTTATTTTTCGTCAAATTCACAATGTGAATATTTGAAAATTCACAATGTGAATCCGGATTCACACGGTGAGTCCAAAAAATATTTTTCACATTCACAATGTTAATATATGAATTTAGATATTTTTAGATTTTTTTCGATAAAGAATAAGCTCTAGAAATTGAAAAAAAG